CTTAAGAAAAAACTTAATGACTCTACTTGACCAATACTTTGGGCATATATTCAGGAGGAACCAGTTCTTGGTGAAAGATATCATACTAGGGAGTATGAGAAAGAGAGCAAGACTCTCAACAAGATGGATTGACAAAGTGGTTGTAACAATGGGCTTGAGAATGGTGGAGATAGTGATGATAGCATAGTATAGGGCAAGGTTCAAATCTGTTGTGCACAGGGTTGCTAAGTAGTAGTCGACTTGATGGCACCTAACAACTGACTAATTCAGCAAAAAGCTGAGTATAATATTCACATACAAAAATTGGCTGGTTACTCTATAGTAACAAAGAGAACTCTGAAAAGAAAATAAGGGAAACAATGTCATTTATAATAGGCACCCAAAAGATTTATTAATAAATCTAACTAGAGATGCAAAACAATACAAAGAAAGCAAAACAATACCACAAGATTTCCAAAGAGACTTACATAAATGGAAGAATATATCATGTTTAAGAATTGGGAAACTTAACATTGTGAAAATGGCACTTCTACTAAATGCAATCTTCAGATATAATGAAATTTCTATCAAGATCCCATCATTGGATAGAAGTGGTGACAGTGGGCATTCTTGTCTGTTCCCTGTTTACAAGGAAGATGCTCTTAGATATTCTCCATTGAGAATGATGTTGGCTCTTGGTTTTGCATAGATACTTTTCACTATATTGAGGAAATTCCCTTCTATTCCAATTGTGCTGAGTGTCTATCAGGGAGGGGTGTTACATTTTGTCAAATGCCTTTTCTGCATCAATTGCTAAGATCATATGGTTCTTATTTACTTTGTTAAAATAGTAAATTATATTGATTGTTTTTCTTATGTTGAACCATCCTTGAATACCTGTTATGAATCCCACATGGCCATGACAAATTATTTTTTTTTTGGTACTTTTGGATTATATTGGTTAGGATTTTGTTAAGGATTTTTGTGTCTATGTTCACAAGAGACAGTGGTCTGTAGTTTTCTTTTTTAGTATTATTTTTGCCTCATTTTGGTATTAGGTCTATACTGGTTTCATAGTATGTCCCTGGGAGTGTTCCTTCTTTTTGTATGTTTTGAAATAATTTAAGTAGAATTGGTGCCAAATCCTCTCTGAATGTTTGGTAGAATTCAGTTGTGAAGCCATATGGCCCAGGACTTTTCTTACGGGGAAGTCTATCTATGACCTTTTCAATTTCTTGTCTTGTGATGGGTCTGTTCAACTGTTCTATATCTGTTCTTGTCAATCTGGACAAGAGATGTGTTTCATGGAATTTGTCAATTTCATCCAGGTTTTCTAATTTCTCAAAGTATACAGCTTTTTGTAGTTTTCAGATATTATCGATTTTGTATTGGAAGTACTTGCTAGGGCAATACAACAAGAGAAGGAAATAAAAGCAACTCAGATCAGCAAAGAGATGGTTAAACTGTTGCTATATGTAGATACGACTGTGTACACAGAAAACGTCAGAGACTCAACCAAAAAACTGTTAGCATTAGTAAGCTAATTTAAAAGCATGGCAGGATATAAGATCAATATCCAAAAATCAACAGGATTCCTCTACAGGAAAACAAAGAAAGCTCAAAGAAGGAAACCAAAAAAGCAATACTATTTACAATAGCCAATCACAAATTGAGATACAAAAGACCTACACAAAGAAAACTACAGAGACCTAAAGAAATGAAAAAATGTGCCCTGTGCATGGATAGGAAGACTCAATATCATAAAAATTACAATCTTACCAAAAGCAATCTATATGTTCAATGAAATCCCAATCCAGATACCAAATTCATTTTTCAAGAATATTGAAAAAGAAATAATTATCAAATTTATTTGGAGAGGCAAGAGACCCCAAATAAGCAAAACACTTCTGAGAAACAAACATGAGGTGAAAGGCATAGCACTCCTAGGCCTCAAAACCTACTAAATAGTGGTACGAACCAAAATAGCATGGTACTGGTACAATGAGAGGCACATAGACCAAAGCAACAGAATTGAGATCCCAGAAATAGACCCAGCTATCAATGGTCAACTATATTCGACAAGGAAATTAAACCTATCAAATGTGTAAATGACAACTTCTTCAACAAATGGTGCTGGCAAAATGGACTTCCACCTGCAGAAAACTGAAACAAGATCCACCACATCTCACACCATACACAAAAATGAACTCAATGGGGATCAGAGATCTGGGAGTGAAGCCCCAAACCATAAAGTTCCTAAGAGTTAGGTTGGGATCAAGCTTAGAAGTGCTATTACAAGGTATAAAGTGACTGCCAAATACAGCCAGAAATACACTATCTGGAAAGGATAAAAATGATGAATGGGACCTTCTAAAGATTAAATCCACGTGTGCATTAAAAACTTTTTCCAACAGGATTAAAAAAAAACCTACTGACTTGTAACAAACATTTGGTACTACCATCTCAGACAAGAGTCTTATAACAAAAGTTTACAGAATACTCCTGGGCCTCCACAAGAAAAGGACTGATAACCCAATTACAAAATAGGCAAAAGACATGGTAAGAATTTTCACAGAGGAAGATATTCGAATGAAAAATAGACACATGAAGAAATACTCCAAATCACTGGCAATAAGAGAGATACAAATCAAAACCACAATGAGGTACCATCTACTCCAATAATCGTGGCAAAGTTTAACAGGGCAGCAAGTAATAAATACTGGAGAGGATGTGGTGAGAAAGGAGTTCTTATACATTGTTGATGGGATTGTAAATGTATAAACATTCTGGAAGGCACTTTGGCACTTCCTCAAAAAGGTGAACATAAAAATTGCATAGGACTCAGCTATTCCACTACTTGGAATATACCCTGAGAAAATGAGAACTGAGGCACAAATGGAGATTTGTACACCAATGTTCATAGCATCATTACTCACCATCACAAGAATATGGAAACAGCCCAAATGTCCAACCACAAACGAATGGATTGAGAAATTATGGTACATTCACACAATGAAATACTATGCAGCAATGATTTTGTAAATTGTTACCTAACTTGGGAGGGACTGAAGAGCATTACACTGAGTGAACTCAGTCCCACAAGGACAATTATTGTACAAAACCATTATTGTAGAATGAGTAGAATGAACCAAGGGGGGTGGGGGACGGTGGAAGCAGAGGGATGAGGATATGCAAGGGGAGGGAGGATTAATCATGGAGTGTACAGTTTGATGGGGGGTTGTGAGGGAAATTGGAAGACTCTGTTCTCGAAAACAATGCATTCGAATTTTGTAAAAAAACTAGTATTAAAAAAAAGAGTGAAAGGAAAAAGAATATGAAACAAAGGTTAATAAAATGCTTTGCCTAGTAAAAATCTCATCATAATTTTTCAAAGAGATGGTAAACAGAGTCACCATCTTTACGTAGAGAGGATAAAATACTACTGAAGAAGAAAAGCAAAGCAGGAGGCCTTACACTTCCTAATCTCTAAGCCTCCTACACAGTCACGGTAATCAAAATAGCCTGGTATTAGTACAGCGCCAAGTACATACAGCAATGGAACAGAATTGAGAAGCCAAAATTAAAGTCATCCACCTATGGTCAGCTATCTTTGACAAAGAGATGAGATCCATCAAAAGTAGGAGAGTCACTTTAACAAATGATGTTGGCAAAACTGGTTATCTATTTGCAACTTAAACTCAACTCACTGCTGTATAACTGGAACGGACTCATTGCTGACTCGCCAGCAGATTTTGAGAGGCTGTAAATCATTTAGGAGATGATTCATCTTAAAAGGAACAGCTGGTGGATTGGAACCATGTGCCTCAAGTTGGCAGTGCAATTCCCCACCCATTGGGCCACTAGATCTCCCTCCCTTGTCTACTGTTGTATGGTATTAAATCAGAGTTGACTCATAGCTGATCTGCCAGTAGGTAGCTTTTCAGAAGCAGTAAATCCTATGGGTGGAGACTGTCCACCTTTCTCCTGCAGAGCAGCTGGTGGATTCAAACAACATGCCTTAGGGTTGGCATTACAAATTCTTACCACTAGGTTACTAGAGCTTCCTCTTTTACTATTAGAAAGATGAAAATCAAAGCAATAAGATAGCATCTCACCCTACCAATAACAGTAAATTCAGCAAGACAGCAAGCAACAAACATTGGCAAGGATGTGGAGAGATTAGAACTCTCATACAATGCTGGTTAGAATGTAAAATGGTGAGATCACTATGGAAATTAGTTCGACACTACCTTACAAATTTGCGAATAGAATTCCATTTGATCCAGCAATCTCACTACCAGGTATATAGTCCAAAGAAATAAGAGCTCCAACACAAACTAATGTATGAACACCCATGTTTACTGCTGCATTATTTGAAATAGCAAAGAGAAACAACTCAAGTGTTCATTAAGGATGAACGGATAAAGAAACTATGCCTTCTTTAACACAATGGAGCATAATGCACCATTAAAAAAAAAGATCAGGAATTTGTGAAATACTGTACAAGGATGAATTTAGAACAAATTACGAGTGACCTAAATCAAATAAGAAATGTAAAAACAACAAAAAAAAAATTTTTAAAAAAAGAAATGTAGTATAAAGGCCACTACTATAAAAAGCTAAGGAAAGGTTTACATACAGATTGAATCAGCCTTAGATGATTAATCAGGTTAGAAAGGGGAAAAAATTAATAAACATATAAGCTAGGTGAAAGAAAAAGCTATATACAGTAAGTGGTTGATCAGTCACTGTAATTAGTCAATTACATTAACCAATTATAATTAATGTAAAGGAACCTGTGGTAGCATAAGCCATAAGGAGTTGAGTTGCTAACCCAAATTATAAAACATGCAGAAATGATTGAACGAAAAACAGTATGATTTGCAAACTTTCACTCAATTAAGAAAAAAAATTTTAACGGTCAATCTATTAATTATATAAAAAATCAATTTCATCTGAAATATTCTACTCAAGACATTACTAAGAGTACTAGAAGTTTTGTTGCTTTAATACTTTCTCACCCTCTTTTAGACGATCTCCTTCAGCCTTGGTTTTCTTCTGCCTTTCTGATCCAGCAAGGTCTACAAGGTGCAGCTTAGAGCGAAAGCTGCTATTCCTTTAATAATGAAAGAAGACAAGAAAGAGAACAGTAAACAAGCTTCAGAGTAGCTAAATATCAAAGCTGACTTGTCATTTCCTGCCAACCCCCCCCAACCCCCCCACCCCCCCCAAGTGAGCAGATAAGGTCCCACTGATACACATTGCTAACAATTTGTCTTCTAACAAAAAATATAGGCAATCTCCTCTCATAAAGATTTATAGCTCAGAAATCAGATAAAGAGTTGCTATGAGATAAAACTCACTTGAGGGCAGCGAGCCTTCAAGGGAATTTCAGGTTAAGGTAAATTTTGGCCATCACACACTAAGTGCAATACAAAGAGCTAACATTCTACTTTAGTAGAACTAACATTAAAAAATAGAATCTTTAATTGTAACTTACTTGTCACTTTTCTTTCTTTGCTCTATGGAAATTGTAAAGACGGCATGAGATCGAGATGACTGGGAATTCATAGCTGTAGAGGCCACAGTTCTACAGTTGTTGCCCTGTTCCAAACAGGAAACAGTATCCTGTGCAACTAAAACAGTCTTCTCAGTAAGTCCTACAATCTAATTTAGAGAAAGAAAATTTTCATATGATTCATGTTTCAAATGTTCAACCAGAAATATGGAGATTGGTGATTTTAAAAAATGTTTTAGTATCCTTCTAAAATCTTGGAAATATAATAGTCACAGAATGAGGACTATTTTAACTAAGCACTCTATTATGATTACCAGAAATCAATGTCTCCTTAATCTCTTCTGGTGGAGTTGCAGGGTATGTTTTACTCTCCTAGTCAAAATGTCAATAGTTTGGTTCAAATACACTGGCTCCCGAGAGTGAAAAATGGGGTAGTATGCTTCTGCCACAATTTAAAGCCTTGGAAACCCAATGAAAGGTCTCCATGAGACAGAACTGACTGGAGGGCAGTGGGTTTACTTTGGTTTGCAATTTTGAGGGACTTCAAAAACAAGAGTAGAAAAGGGTAACAATGTATGGGAAGGAGCTTTGGTGGTGGAGAGCATAACATATTGGATTGCTAACCAAAATTGTCAGCAATTTAAATCCACTAGCCATTCCACAGGAGAATGGCAGTTTTCTCTCATAAAGAAACTTAATGAAAGGTTAGTATGAGTAAGAACTTACTCGATGGAGCGGGCCTTCAGAGCCCCAAGTGAAGGTAAACTTTGGTCCCAGGACATCAAGTACAATATAAATAGCTTTGTATTTTTCTTTGCTACTTTCTCTCCCATGTAATCCCAACCTCCTCCTAACACTACTGATCCATTTTATACGTCATCTTTACTAGGGAAAATAGCAGAGCAGTTTCCATTGAATTGGGAAGCCAGGATGACAGGGTTGTAGGGTTGTGAAAACCTGAAACTAAAAATCTTCTGAAGTCTCTAGGAAGTAAACTAGATCATTATTTTGTTGTTGTTGATTAAAGATTTTATTCTTCTCTACAAATGAGAACAGATTAGAGAAAGAAGTATTTTCTGGTTATCATATAAAAGCAGCTTCAAGGATTATGGCATACCTTTAATTTAGTAGTACTTAAAATATTTCCAAATACTCCCTACTGTGTTTTGGTTCCTAACACCTTTTTTTTTCGGTTCCTAATACTTTTTACAGAATTGTTTTCTTGTAACATTGCTTGATCTATCAAAAGCAAATTTTATACCTAATTTTTTAAGATTAAAGATTTTAGCCTTTTAATAATGAGTTTTAAAGTTCATTTTAAAATACATGTTACTCCATCATAAAAAAAATGCTGTATAATAAAATGTATTATAATACCTCAAAAACAAATCTAAATTCAAACCAGGATCTTTGAAAAAGGGGCTAGGAGAAGACATCTTAATTTCAAGGGTTTAGCATAAGATACAGAATGCAGGCCACATTTTAGATTTTATAAATACATAAACACAAACTATCATAAATATAAACAAAAAACAAAATTATTTGTTAGCTGTTAATCAGTAGTGAAAACTTTATATAAACCATAAAAGTCTGCTTTTGAAGAGTTGACTTGCAGGTCTATGTTGACTTCATTTATAGAAAGACTCTATAGTCAAATTATCATTCACGTTCATGCCCCTGCAGGGACATGGTAGGCGAGTATTTGTAGGAATACAATTTATTGTCTGCTCCTCCACTCAGAAGTAACCCTGTGTCTGTCCAGTCTACACTCAGAACTTTGTCTTCATGAGCAGCCATAGCATACAACTTCTTCTATTCCACAGCTTGACAAAGTTATCCAAAGAACCTGAGATCAGTTGCTGTTTATGGGTAGATGTGACCCTGCCTATATGTGATGTTAGGGACAGAGACACTAAAGAACCATCTTTAGTTCAGGGATTCCCACAATCTGATATGCCTATCTGTGCTCTCAGATGCTAAACGTTTACAAATTGGTGAATAGGAGATGCAATTAAAAACTTTATTTTAAAAAAAAATCAACAACTTTATTTCCAGTCAAAGTTAACTTAAGACTGCCAGTTTCAATATCGCATAATTTTATGGTGTGGTCCCAAGACACACTGCAGACTTCAGCATCTGACGACAGAAATGAAGAAACTGCTTCCTTTTGACCAGTTAGGGTCACCATGGGAGTCCTTGTTAGTCCCAGCTGTTTTCTGTTTCTTTCCTAGGTCGATTTAAGGATTCTTCCATTTCATCCTCTTCATCTGTAGGGACCGTAGACCAATCTTTAACATTTTAATCCCAGGAGCCACTGCAAAATTTAGTTCCTGTATTATCAACAGCTATAGAATCCACACTCCCAGCATGACCTCTGCAGCAGTGTAGGGCTTTAATTTTGTTTCTATGTTCCACTCCCATAAGAGAACAGTTTAATCCATAGAGGCGCTCAATAATAAGCAAGACAAACTGTCTTTTTGTCACCCAGGCCACATCTTTTACAATATCCATATGTCCCACAATTTTCATTACTGACTTTACTTCCAAGGACCAGATTCATGAAGTCTTATCATAAGAGCTAGTTAAGATCCATTCCTCTGCCCCTTTAACTGAGCTGATTTAGTCATCGTGGAGTATGCATTGCTCTGGCTGAGATGCAGCGTACTTCTCCACATACTCTATTTCCACAACTTCTTCTGATGAGATGTTTTCTAGTTCCACGTGTTTGACCAGGGGCATTTGTAGAAATTGGCCCGCCCTTGACAAGAAAATCAAACTCTACATGTTTGTGGAACTCAATTTTGGCCTCCAGCAATTTATTTTTTTTGCTGCTAATTTTTTTTAAATTAATTTTAATGAAAGTTAACAGACTTAGGGTTTCCAGGAATTCACTGTCGCACTTTTCTCCCTACTCCCCCTTTCCCCGCCCCAATTCACTCCTCTCCTTGAAAAGAAAAACTCTTTCATTGTTATGTAATCCCTCCCCCTAAGTCCACTCCACTATGCAGCCTTCACACTGGACTTCTGTAATGACAAGAAAACCCATTCATATATCCCTTTTAAACAGTTCTCTCCCTCATCTGTTTCAATGCAATATACATCATTCCTCCCCTCCTTTTCTTTCTTCCATCAACCCTGATGTCAGTTCCATTTTACAACAGTGACCATATGCAATATTTGTCCTTTTGTGACTGAGATATTTCACTCAGCATAGTGTCCTCTAGCGACATCCATTTTTAATAATATTTCAAGAGTTCCTTATTTTTCAATGCTACATAGTATTCCATTGTGTGAAAATACCAGAGCTTCTCTGTCCATTCGTTTGTTGATGGGCACTTGTTTCCAGCTCTTTGCTACTGCGAACAAAGCCACAATAAACATGGGTATGCATATATCTGCTTGGGTGACACTTATGGTTTCTTTAGGGTAAATTCCCAGTAATGGAACTGCTGGGTCAAATGGTATTTCTATTTGCAACTTTTTGAGAAAGCGCCATACTGCCTTCCATAGTGGTTGCACCATTTTACACTTCCACCAACAGTGAATAAGGGTTCCAGTTTCTCCACAACCTCGCCAGCATTTGATGTTTGCTGTTCTGCTAAATTTTGCTGTTCTTACTGGGTGAGATGGTATCTCATAGTTGTTTTGATTTCTTAGAGCTAGGGATTTTGAAAATTTCTTCATGTGTTTGCCATCTGAATGTCTTCTTTGGTGAAGTGTCTGTTCATATTCTGTGCCCATTTTTTAATTGGCGTATTTACTTTTATCTTGTTGTGGTGCTCGAGTATTTTATAAATTCTAGATATAAGTCCCTTGTCAGATATGTCATTACAAAATATTTTTTCCCAGTCTGTGGCTTTTCTTTTTACCCTGTTAGAGAAGTTTTGGATTTAATTCTTAGAAGGTCCCATTCATCTGTTTTATCCTCTCCTGGTTGTAGATTCCAGCAATTTATTGATATTACTAAATTTCAGAGGCTGCAGGGATTGAGAAAGGAATCTCATCTACCAAATATATATTTTTTTAAATTGTCATTATAGAAGCATGTCTGGAGCTGAGCCATCGTGGGATGTAAGGTGTACACTCAAGATCTACCCACAGAAATGTATGGACTAATAGAGAATGGGTGTTCCCCTGATAAACAAAAAAGAGGCACATGGAAGTGAAACGCTGCAGTCAAAAACTGAACTTCACTTTCTTCCCTAAGGCATCTCTACCAAATGCCTAGATCATTATTAAGTCCTTTCTAACCCTAATATAGCATGATTTTATTGCTCCCTAGCACCCAAACATCCATCTGTAAACATAACTTCTATTCCCTTAATTCCAATTATCTGCTATTTATATTTTAAAATATAAAATATGCTTATATTTTAAAATCTATAAGTTATAAAGAAAAATTATCTTAATTCTATCAACATCAATCCTCCCTTCCACTTTTCCATTTTTATTAATATCCCTATTCTCATATTTTCCAAACCTCAGATTCTCCTTTGATTCTCCCAATTCCTATATAACTCATCTATTGTTGTTCTTAGGTGCTGTCGAGTCAAGCACAATTCATAGTGACCCTATGAACAACAGATCTGAACCCTGTTCTATCCTGTGCCATCCTCACACTTTGACACACAAAAGCCCATTGTGACAGTCACCCTGTCAAACCCACCTGGTTGAGGATTTTCTTCTCTTTTGTGAACTCTTCACCCTTCCCAGCATCCTGTCCCTCTGCAAGGAATAGCTTCTCCTAGCAACATGCCCAAAGTATGTGAGGCAAAGCCTCATTATTCCTGCCTGCAAAGAGCACTGTGGCTGCACTCGCTCCAAGACATATCTGTATGTTCTCTTAGCCATCCAAGTGATGTTCAGTGGTCTTCTCCAGTACCACAGCTCAAAGGCATCAATTCTTTTTCTGTCATCCTTATTCACTGTCCAGCTCTAAGATGCATAGCAAGTAATCCAAAGACTGTGGCCTGAATCAGACTTAGTTCTCAAACTGACATCATTACTCCTCAATAATTTGGAGAGGTCTCTAACTGAAGATTTTCCCAGTGCAATGATTATCCTTATTTTTTGACTGCTGGTACCAAGCATATTAACTGTGGATCCAAGCAAGATGAAGCTGTTGACAGTTTCAATCTCTCCATCCATC